TGGATCGGCTTCTAGCAAGATTCCCACCGCCACGTCTGCGGCCAGCGCCTGCAATGTGGGTCAAAGCCAAAGCTGCCTTATGCTGGTGGAAAAATCGCTGGCATCAATTGATTTTCACCAAATGGTGGAAAGAAATATTCATATTTATCATTCCGCAATCATACCAACCAACACATTGAAACTCTGGTTTTTACATTGTTTTGCCATGCGAAATCAAGAGCATTCAGCAAGCAGTTCGATTCTATTGGTTCTGCAAGAAACAAGAAGTGGCATATGGTGCTGCAGGGGTGTTTCAACATAATTTGCCTTCTGCTAACGGCGCAGCCACATCACACCCACCCGCCCAACGCTTTTGCACTATCGCGCCTACAGCCAGACGGAAGCAGGGGGCCTACTGAAACTCACCCTGACAAGTCATGGTTTAGGAATCACAGGGCTATCATACTAGCTGGATGGGCCGCCACATGTTTCATCCTCATCATGGTTGAGGTGAGTCCACCATTGTCAGGGTTGTCCGCAGCCACCCAGGGGAATCTGAAATGATCTGCTTGATCTTCCAGTCTGCTTCGGAAGCCCTAAGAGGGATCTAGCAGCTAGCATTCGGCAAGCATTCGGCAAGTAATTGCGATTGCGTTGGTGCTCACTTTTTTGTTACCCACAACGTGTTTCCTGTTGAAAAGGCCGAGTCAGAAGTGGCTCCCTCGCCACTCATCCTTCACGAAAAGGGTGAACCAATGGTGCCGATGATGATTGATGTCCGAAGCGGTTTAGAAGACCAGCACTAGGGTCTGTTGGGCTATTGATGGCTATTGTAATCCGATGATCTATCACTCTTCAAAATCTCGTTGATTTCTCGTTGATATTTCTTGATTGCCCAACCCTGATCAGTTCAAAACATCCCGTGGCCTCAGATCATGTGGCTTCTGCATTATTTGCATTTCTTTCAGCTGGCACATCGGCTGTGACCATACTTCGCATGGGCACTGAGGGCCAGCTGCAAAAAGGGAAGACCCGAAGGTCTCAAGGATTTACAGACCCCTGGACCGAGGGGCTGGGACCAGCCCATTGACTTTCAGCCCTGCATGGCCCACCTACAGTGATGGGCCCCTGCCTGTTCAGCAAAGCATGTGGGAAAAAGAAGCTACTTCAAATTCAACGATATTCAGAGTACAAAGATATTCAAAGTACAAGGCAATATTTTCGAGATGTTTCTAGTTACTACCCCAGTCCGCTGGCAGGATGTTGAGCACAGGGCTGATCGCCGCAGCTGCAGTGCGGCGGGTCAGAACAAATAGTAAACATCGCAGCCACAAAAGCGGCAGCTGGATCCCCAGTTCGAGAATCAACCAGGCAGAAGGTCGTCTTCCTAAGGAGAAGAAAAATGGACTTGGGAGGCCACATTGCAGAAATCAATGTGGATAGCATCGGACAGGATATTGATTGCTGTTTCGACCTCAATCAAGTGCTTGGAGAACAGCAAATCTGACACCTCCCAAGTCGCATGCAGCCCAAACACGAGCAGTTCTATTGCTCTGTTTGGGAGAAACGTGCAGCACTCATCCTGGAGCACATGGTTAGAGAAATGGTCATGTGGTTTGTATACATTCTCCGTCCTGGGCCTCAGGCTCGACATGGCTCGACAACCAAATCGAATGAGCTCCAGAATGGTTTTAATTTCTAATTCGGCACCCTCCTTTCTTCTGCAGGGCTCAGTTGGACCATCACACTGATCGACCAGCCACTGCTTAAATCCATGGGCCATGGATGTTCTTTCAGACTGCGAAAGAGACGAGTCGATGGTCCGCAGTACATCGTGGATCTGTTTTGACAGGATGTTGATCGAGGGATATGGCTGAGTCAATATCCAAACACACTGCAGGCACACCTGGACATATTTTGGCCCAATGATAGTGTAACTTCAAGGAAAAAGGCCATCATGGCTGGAGGTATCGTTCCCGTTGCTGCGTTGACCACCTGGCCTCAAAATTCTTAAGGAATCTTCTACGATTCTACAACAAACCCACAGGTTTGATTGTAAAAAAGATGGGTTCCCCGGTTCTCCTCTGTCCTAAAATCTGAAGATATTTCAAGATATCATTAATTCGAATCTACGGCCAATCCATTAAGTCGTTAAGTTTGGGCTGTTCCAATCTGTTCCAATCTGTTCCAACTCATCATGATATTGACATGATATTGACATGATTGATCCATAATCCAAGATGCTCCAGCCGACCTCAGATCGTCACGCCTTCGCTCAGACAGGGCCGGGTAGTGAGGCTGGTGATGGTGTGCCGCCGCGCGCGGCTGGGGCTGCCGAGGCCGAGGCGGCTTCCATAAGACGGCCTGCAACGCAGAGGATGGGATTCTCGGATTCCCCGTGACCTTTCCCGGTCGCACCATCGGACCATGAAGCCACAATCTTGATATATTGATATATTGATATTATCCATGATACATCATGATATATCTACATATGTGTATTCACAATTATTCACAAATTGCAATTATCTTTAAAGTCGTTTATCTACACCTAAGAAAGCATGCTGCATGTTGGAAATGTAATTCTTATCTAAGGAAGTCTATGTGAAGCGACCGCGGTAGCGGAGGTCCGATTTCCAAAAAGAAATGCAAAAAGGGGGGCCTCAGAATGCCATGGTCTAGGAAGCCTTGTGGTGAGACAAGAGTGGTGTTGAATTTTGCATTCATCAAGCTTGATAGACACATGTAGGCACAGCATCACCGTGCACAAAAATTTATGTAATGGGATCCATGATGATGTGTGCCACAGAAAGCAAACAAGCAGAACGCAAGTGCTTTATTTGAAGGAGATATGCAATGAGAGCGAAACATTGTTTTATAGTTGTCTTCAAACCATTTTTGACAACTCGGTTCCAAACTAGCTAAGTACTATCCATCCAAGACCCATATGCAAATAGTAGTCGCTTACTTCCTGCTGCAATAAACTCATGACCCTTTTGGCACCTGCGCTTCTTAGCATCCGAAAAGGACTCCATGCGGGTGACAAGCCTTTGGCAATCGCAACTCTTGGAGGCGCTGCGTGCTGAACAAAACACTGGCCCTCCAAACATAGGAAAGGATTATACAGAATCCAAACTCTGACAGAAGCATATCTTTTTATGCTTTATATAACCCTGTGATTTGTTCCTACACGTCTGGTGCTGGCCCAGCCACTCCCACAGTGTCATGCCACAGCATACCCAATAAATGCCCAGATATGGATGCATATAAGGAATGTGCGTCTGTTAGTCCCATCCTAATCTCAATCTGAGGGAGATCTTCGGGTTTCGCATGGCTCTCACCACCAAGTAACATACTCAGAAGTTCTTGTGTGGCTCGACTTTCATTCCGAAGGCTCGCCATGTCGACACCTTGCAAGCAAACAGGCACCCCCACCACAGCCATCCACAGCCAACGTCAAAGTCAGCTGAAAGTCAATGTTGTCTGTAAATGTCAGTAAGAGCGAGATGGTACTGCAAGACATAGGCGCATCCGACCCACCCCACGGACGACAGATGATATCCCCAAGCGCCTGAAGCATGTCCGCGTAGTTTCAGACACCCATTGACAAAAGCCTCGAGGCAGAAGGCATCAGGCCAAGTGTCGGACTACACGACTTTGCCCCTTCACTGGTCAATAAATGTTACCATGTTTGACCTATACCTGAATGGGCCCAGTCCTCTTTACAAAATGCTAGAAAGGCATGGGAAAAAAACTTCTCAGGCCCTCAACCTCAGAAGCTCCAGGTTCTTGATATCATTCATACCAGTTTTTTTAGAAAGAAGCCATGACTACTGGAATCAGATTTATGTGATACAGTAGATTTCAGGCATGGTCAGGTCGCACCTCCTGCGACACCACTCCCTGCGCATTTTCATCTAAAAGTTTGAAGAGCGTCCAGGGGTCTCCTGCAACTGCTTTGGGTCTAAATGGGTCTAGAATGGACCACTTATGCCCAACTTGTGCCCAACTTGTGCCCAACTTGTGCCCAACCTTGGCCTGACAATGCCTTACATAAAATGACGGACTGTGATTGCAATAGACTCAGTAGACCATCATAGACCCTCACAGGACCATCACGTTACCAAGCTGCCCAGATCCAACTCACCCCCTTTGCTGAATCAAGCGGAGCCATGTCAGCCATGTCATGTCCTTCGGCTATCCCAAGCGCTTGAAAGTCCACCCTGCCATTCTCTTCCTCCATCCATTCCTTGGCCCGGTCGATGAGTTCAGTTCCTTGCTGACATGCCGAGCATATTTTGCAGGTGACTTCACACTGTCACATATGGTTTGGCAGTATATATTATATTATATATATATATTATATTATATTATATTATATTATGTTATATTATATTATATTCTATTATATTATATTATATTATATTATATATATATTATTTATATTTATATATTTATTTATATTTATATATATGTATATATTTATTTATATTTATATTTATACTTATATTTTTATATTTATGTATATATATATATTTCAATCACAGTTCTTTGACGTGCACGTGAACACATGCACTGCACTCGGCCGCTATGCAAACTTTTCATCCTCTGGAGACGTGGGTGATTGAGGATGAAGATGGGTGGATCAGCCCATCAGATCAATGCTGGGGGATCGACCCCAAATGAATAAAATCACAAACATCACAAATGCAAACAAGGAGTAGGTCAACTCCTTCAGCACGAATAAATAAAACCTCACCACAGAATGATCTCTGTCTGACCCATCACAAGTGCAGCCGAGAAGTGAATCGACTCCGTCGGCACAAATAAATAAAACCTCACACAGAATGACCTCTATCTGACTCGAGGTGATCACCTCGGATAAAAGAAAATGTCAAAATAGGAACTGTGCTCAGGTGAAATCAGATCGGCTTTCTCCGGAGCAGATCACTGCGCATCAGTGAAAGAGGAACGATCTCAGGAGGCACCTCCGACCCTCACAATGGTAAATAATGAACCATCATGGGGCTAGAGGTGGGCGGGACAATTCCCAAAAGAGATCGCTGATCAGATCTCGAGCCAAAATGGCACCAAGATCTGATCAGTGCCAATGACTCAAACGGGGTTGATCAACCCCACACTCTGTGATCACAATAAATGAATTTTCAAAATTCTCATCACTGAACCCGAACGGGTAAATGAAAATAAAATAAGATCAAACGCAACCAGTGCCACGAACTGTAACATTGATCCACTTATCCCTCACCAACCAACCGTAGATAAGTGACCCAATCACAGTTCTTTGACGTGCACGTGAACACATGCACTGCACTCGGCCGCTATGCAAACTTTTCATCCTCTGGAGACGTGGGTGATTGAGGATGAAGATGGGTGGATCAGCCCATCAGATCAATGCTGGGGGATCGACCCCAAATTAATAAAATCACAAACATCACAAATGCAAACAAGGAGTAGGTCAAGTCCTTCAGCACGAATAAATAAAACCTCACCACAGAATGATCTCTGTCTGACCCACGCCGCCTAGAGATCAGGAAAAACCGCTGGTATCGTATCCCATCCTAGAGACTGACCTATGTCTAATCTGCCACGAGATGGTGGATCAGCGGGATTGGAATCCGTTGGAACTCGATCGATGTAGAGATTAATGCGAACATCAAGAGCTAATCTCCAGAAAACTCCTACTAATTCGCAAAGATCTTCACGAGCGGAGTAACCCTTCACTAACGCGCCTTGAACAGATTCGGAATCCACAAAGAGCAGGGACCAAGAGCCGGAGATCCAAGGCTTGAAGGTCTGGAGCGCCACGACCGTAGCGAAGAGTTCGACCATAGCGATCTGTGACTTCCGCGGGATCCACTTCTCGATCAAGTCCATGCCCACCATGCATCCGAACTGGATCGGTCTAGCGCCTTTCTTGAACAACACGCCGCCAACCCAAGGATCCTGCAATTCACTCTTCTGATCAGGGAAACTGCCATCTGTAAAAATGACGTAGTCAGCGGGTCGAGCGCCCGATGCAGTAATAGGTCTCGGAGGCCCATGATCAATCAGCAGCTCCCACTGTTTCAGCGCGAGCTTCAGCGCAATGTTGAGACCAGTCTTTGGGGATCTCGTGTACTGCCTCTCCGAGAGAGCTCTCAGAAAGGCCCTGCCGATCTTCCCCCACAACTGCGAGGCGCCAAACATGAGCTTGCCGCGCAATTTGCCTGCTTGTCCAGGCGACAATCTCTCGGAGGAGACGATAGACTTGATCTCGTCCAGCAGCTCCTCCTTTCGTGAAGGTTTGATCCTCAAGCACATAGCTTTCAGATCGTAGGTCACCCCCAAGATCGTCGGGTCCTCGCAGAGCTGGAGCTTCTTGGGGTCGAACCTGGCACCTAGCCACCAGTGAACCTTCTGAGCGATCTCGAAGGCCGAGGAGCAAGTGACTTCGGTTTCGAACCCGTACTTATCATCGTAGAAGTTGAACGCCGCCACGAAAAAGACCCGACGTAAAATGTCGGTAATGGCCGCAGATCTACGATTGTAGTTGTAGACCGCCGCCACCAAACCAAAAGAATGACCGATCATGACGAAGAAGGAGATCTTCCCCGTGTCAGGTTCGCGAAGCGAGATCACGCTCCATCTCCGGTGATCAGGGTGGATAGGAATCTGGCGGTAAGCTTTTCTCTCGTCCAGAACCCACCCTTGCAGCTTTGTAGAGCTAGAGCACGAAGACCTCATCCACCTCAGCGCAGACACGTTCGCATCTGTAGATGGCAGCTCAATCTTTTCCAGGATCCTGGAAGCCGTGTTGATGCCATTGATCGTGGCACTGTCCACTCCTCTGACCTTGTTCTTCTGCACCACTTCGAACCGCTGAGTAGGGATCCAATTGTCAGTGCCGAGGAACTTGTCGACCTCGTCTTTAGAGAAGAAAGGACCTGCTGTAACACCTTCTCGAACATCTTCCATAGTCGCCTCCCAGATCTTGGAGGTGTTCACTGTGACTTCCGATCTTTTCACGTTCCGCAAGACCTTGTTGGAAAACTCCCAGGCCCTCGAAACAAGATCTCGTTCTGGAAGAGCATCATCTGGCAGCAGCAATCGCGGCCAACGAAACGATCGCTTGATGTCGCCGACGATGGAGAAGCCATTGATCATCTCGTCCACCAAAGAGCTGTCAATACAGCGACTGGCAGCGAGCAGCTCTCGCCACAGGGCGACATGCGTGACCGTGCCAAGCTGAACAGGTTGGTCATCGGGTACCCCGCGCAGTAGCGACCGCAGGTAGGGATCCTGGACAGCACGGAGCTCCAGATCCGTGAGCGGCAGAAGACGCTCAGCCCGAGCAGCCCAGAACTGTAAAGCACCTTGCCGATGACCAAGCAGTTGATGAGGCTTATGCACGACGAACGCCAGAGCCTCTTGAAGATCGGGATCAAGCGCTGGATCCAAAGTAAAAGGATGGGGAACTTGTAAAGCTTGCTGAACAGCTTGACCAGGTTCCATCTCAACCTGCAATAGAGCCGACCGCTTGAGCTGGTATCCTGCATCACGAGCTTTCTCTGCTGTCGCGCGTTGCTTGTGCACGACCCATGGCAGCGGCTGGCCGAGCGGCCGTTTCCGTTCATGAGCTGGCACGGCCATCTGAAAAGTGGCAGCCAGTGGATCAGCCTGCAGAGATGCGATCACCTTTGCCCATGCTTGACATAGAAGCGTGGGGTAGACCTGAGCCAACTTGGTTTTGAAAATCTTCTTGCCCTTGGACATGACCATGCCCACTAAGGGTTCGTGAACATGAGGCCGCGCGTCTCGATCACAGGAGAGCGCCAGCGCACTGAGGTCGCAATCAGACAAGAGCGCTGTAGGCTTCTTGTGTTTGGATTGGAACCTGCACATGTCCAGATTGAACCGGCCCACTCCGTCGCGAGCGGCGAGAGAGCGAACTGGTGGCATGTCCCACAAGTAAGACGTTGCCGGGTTCTCCAGCGACCAATGGACGCCGAACTGGCAACATAAAACCACGAGCTTCGCAGTGAGGTCCATGAACTGGTTACCAAGCTCGACTTTTGCTTGATCCTGCTGAGATAGTGCTGGACGCCCCCACAGGTTGTGTCGATCACGCAACGGTGGGGGGCCGCCATCATCTTTGCGAGCTTGGCTAAAAAAAGAGCAGGGTGTGCCAAAATGAATAAAGAAAATGCACCCTGCTTGAACTAACTTGCACAAATGTTGAAAAACTTTGGGATCCAAAATATCAACCTCTTCGACGACAAAATTGTTGGCCAAGATCTCAATAGGGGGCAGGGTCTTAATGCCACGAGCAATGATGGCTTGTGTCAGCCCTGCCTCTCCTGCGAAGACCTCGACGAAAAACTGCGTGCCGGATGGCACAAAACCGGAGCCCCAGAAAGGTGAAGGAAAAACATGCGAGCAGGATTTGCTGTCAACCGTCTCTACCTCATCCAATGGAGCCATTGGTTGATCACCAGGTCAGTGATTGCCTACCATGGAGTGAGCGGAGCCGCAGACCATGCACTGGTGCTTGAACCTGCACTTGTCGCCCAGGGAGCATCCCATGGTGGAGTTGAAAAAGTGACATCGCTTTGGGCCAGTCACTGAGCTAGCGGCTTGCACGATCGCTTTCCACTCTGTGTCTGGGATCCGCTTGTCCTTGCTGACCTTCTCGTCTCTTGTTGAGGCTGACTTTTTGTCAGCTGGATCTTTCTTGACTTTGGAATCCTTGGCTTCACGGAGGAGCGCCTTGTTGCGGAGCCGCTGGCGCTTCTTTCGCTCCTTGTTGGGAGAGCTCTTGGGCGCCGCCTCGACGACCTTGTCTTGCACGTCGCCGGTCTCGCTGGCGTCCTCTCTGCGCCGATCGACTTTGGAAAGAACTGCCTTGGTTCGGGCGTCGTTCCAAAGGTACTTGTGGTTGTTCAGGACCTCAATGATGGCGTCCTCGAACGTGCCATAAAGTTGGCGCTGCTCAGCTTGCAATCTATTGACTTTCTTCCTGATCAAGGAGTCTGCAGCCAAAAGGCAGGCCCGGGCACTCCGAGCGAAATTGCTCGAGCTCCTGCATGTAGCGCAGTGGGCCAGCCGCACGAGAATAGGTGCAAATGTTGAGATATTCCAAGGCCATGAAAAAGGCATGGATCCTGTTCATCATGGTCGTAGAATCAGTGACCTGATCAGGTTCATCCGCCTTGGATATCGTCAAAAGATCCTCTGCGTTCTTGGAGAGCC